TCCCACCATGGTTCTGAGAGGGCATGTGTTGAGGCCTTAAAGGACCACTCTAGGCACCCAGAACACTTCACCTTAATGAAGTGGTCTGGGTGCCTGGTCCAACTAGGGTTAACCCATTTTTTTTTTTATAAACATAGCAGTTTCAGAGAAACTGTTTATGAATGGGTTAAGCCTTCCCCCTATTCCTTCTAGTGGCTGTCTCATTGACAGCCGCTAGAGGCGCTTGCGTGCTTCTCACTGTGATTTTCACAGTGAGAGCACGCAAGCGTCCATAGGAAAGCATTGTAAAAGCTTTCCTATGCGACCGGCTGAATGCGCGCGCAGCTCTTGCCACGGGGCGGAACGGAGGAGGAGAGCTCCCCGCCCGACGCTGGAAAAAGGTACGTTTTCACCCCTTTCCCCCTTCCAGAGCCGGGCGGGAGGGGGTCCCTGAGGGTGGGGGCACTCTCAGGGCACTATAGTGCTAAGAAAACGAGTATGTTTGTTTTCCTGGCACTATAGTGGTCCTTTAAAGAGACACTATAGTCACCCAGACCACTTCAACTCAATGAAGTGTTCAGGGTGCCAGGTCCCTCAGGTTTTAACCCAGGGTTAATCCAACCTCTAGTTGCTGTCTTCCTGACAGCCGCTAGAGGTGCTTCTGTGATGCTGGATGTGAAACTCGCATCTAGTGTGTAGAACGTCCATAGGTAAGCATTCAGAAATGCTTTCCTATGGACTGTTAGAATGTGCACGCGGCATTCCGCTACACTCGTGAGCTGACGGTGGGGGAGGAGAGGTCACCGGCGCTGGATTAAGGTGAGCTGCTGAAGGGGTCCCCCAAGGATGACATAGTGTCAGGAAAACGGGTTTGTTTTCCTGACACTATAGTGATCCTTTAAGTGATTCTGTGAAAATGCTGGCTTTTTTAGTGCCTGCAAGGTGTTGTAACACTGGACACACTGTCAAAGAAGGAAAAGTTACTTTTTTTAGGGGGAGCAGCGCATTAGATATCATTACATCAGTTTTATCACCATCTAGGGCCTTTGCATAATTTGTGACTGTTCTGCTAGCAGTGCAGTGGCCATTGGTGGGGCAGTGAAAGGTAAGTTATGCTTACCTCAAGCTGTCCCTCACAACCTCTGCCATCTTCCTCCTGCTGGTTTTCTTCAGCTCCTTGGCAAAAGTTAAGTATGGAGGATCCTACTGAATCCTCCATAGACAGAATCTTTAAAGTGGCTCTGTCACGTTTTTATGGGCTTTTCATGATTTGCAATTGGCTAACTTTTCACATAGGGTGTAGCACAACAAAATGATACCTGAAGCAGTCTCACATTGGCGATGCCATCTTCTTTCTTCCGCTCCTAGAGCTAGATTCACCAGCGTCCATGCCAGTGCTGAGCTCCAGTGCAAGTATAAGAGCGCAACATTGATGCGTGTGAAGGTTTTTGCTAGACCTTCCACAGATCATGCCTTTCAATTAGTGAGGAAATGTCAGATTCCAACAACCATTGCTAGTGGTAGAACTGTGAAACCCAGGTTTGAATACCAGTCAGACCACCTTATCAATAAGTGTCATGGACTGAACGATATGTACCTAACTCAAATCTTGGATTGTAAGCTTGTTTGAGCAGGACCATTATTATGATATTTATAGAGCGCCGTCAAATTCCGCAGCGCTTTACAATGGGTGAACGAACAGACAAGTTGGACCATCACCTTCAAATATCTCTTTTCTATAACCGTAGTTCTACAGCACCAAATATATTTCGGCATAATATGAAGTATCAGTAGTTGCCTAAAAGAGGTGTTTTTTTTGTTTTGCTTTTTTTTTAATGCTTTTTGGCCAATTAAATCTGGATTTGTAATCTGCATGGCATGCTAGCAGCTTGCTTCACCATTTCTATATTTACATACAGTGGCTGAAACTAACGTCTGATGATGTGAAGGAACAGATTTACAAACTGGCCAAAAAAGGTTTGACACCATCCCAAATCGGTGAGTTCATTGGATTGTTTGAGACCTTGCTAAACATTGGTTATACAACTATTTTCCTGCATTTTTTTTCTCCAGCTATAATTTTAGTATATCTTAAGATGTTATGGCACAAATAAAACTGAGCCCAAGTTTAGACAATTGAGGCAAAATGTCCAATTGCTTTTCCAATAATTCCTTATTCAAAGACAATAATTTACTATGTATATATCTTTAAGCCATCTATCATGTTTTATTCAAAAATGCAGCAAGCTGCATCACATTACACAAATTAATGCTTATGGGAGAAGATAATTGGTTCTAAAGTTAGGTTTTGTGAAATCAAAACATAGTTTTTTTTTTTTCTTAATGATTTTGTGCATAAAATGTGGCATTGTAAGTCAGTGCTGCTTCCCTGCTCCTGCAACGCTGAGTGGGTTAAAACCCCTTCAGTCATTTACTTGAATCAAGCGCCAATGTCCATTGGCACTGGGTCAGGCTCTGTCCACACTCCTTCCACGCTGATGTCAGCCATTGGGGGAGACCTAATGTGCATGTGCAACAATGGCCACGCTCGCATTAGAATTTCCACAAAGGAAAACATTATTCAATGCTTTCCTTTGGTGAAGAATATGACGCTGGAGGTCCTCATGCAGAGTGTGAGGACGTCCCGCAGCGGATAACTGACCAAAGATCCTTTTTTAAACCAGGAAGTCCCTCTAGTGGCTGTCTAGTAGACAGCCACTGGAGGTGGAGTTTACACTGGGTAGTAATTATTGCAGTTTCTCAGTAACTGCAATAATTACTTTTGCAGGGTTAAGGGACATGGGACATTGCACCCAGACCATTTCAATAAGCTGAAGTGGTCTGGGTGCCTACGATGATCCGTTGCACCCTTCTTAAGGTAGTCCAATTAGTAAGTGATTTAAGAAAATACTGGCAGGTAATAGGGTTTACCTGGAGATGTAGCCTGCCATTAAACTGAGTTGTCGACACTCCTGATTTATTAACCTGTGCCGCAATGTCTTCCTGTAGGTGTCATCCTCCGTGATTCTCATGGTGTTGCCCAAGTTCGTTTTGTGACTGGCAACAAGATTCTGAGAATCCTCAAGTCCAAGGGGCTTGCTCCAGACCTTCCCGAGGATCTGTACCATTTAATCAAGAAAGCTGTCGCTGTTCGTAAGCATCTTGAGAGAAACAGGAAGGTAATGCGACTTTGTCCCCTAATTGTAGCTATTGTTTGTCTGACAACTACATTGTAGCTTAGATCTGATGGTCCCTTAGCTTCTCTGCTAAGCATTTCAGTAAACAGTCCACTTTTTAACCATTTGCTGCCACTGTACGCATGAAAAGAAAATTAACTTGCTTATATGATAAGCAGGCTCTTGAATCTCTTTCACGTAGCGTTGTCTGATTATTAATTTTTTTTTTATGGTAATGGCTGGAGACTTATTATGGTTTTAATCCCATTTGGTTACACAAATTGCACACTGGTGTCTATATTCAGACACTTGGACTTCAAGCTATATTTTATAACCGGATCTAATCTGAACAAGGAACTAGTGTTCAAATTGTTTACTTTTGAATTTTTGTTTTTGGAAATGAACCTCTTTATACAATGGAAAATTAATCACAAAGCCTTCAAACTAATTTCCATTTTAGCAACACTATTTTGTTTTAATTTTTTTCTTTCTGCACTCTCCATGTACAACCTGCATTGCGGCAGACTACTACAGTTAGGGACTTTTATGACCGTAAACTATTCTTACAAAGCAATCATTTTGCTTTACTAGTTGTGGTTATATATTGTGCTTTGTGGTGATTTATGACCACTTAGACTTATTTAGTTCGTATTGCATTTAATGGTACTATTCCTAAACCATTCCTTTGGTTGTTCAGAAGTTTATTTTGCTCTGTGATGGCTTGTATTAAATCCTGTATTTTGCATATTGTGCAGTGTTCCGCATATTGTAGTATTTTATACATGAAGTATGAATTTTTTTTAAACGTGCTTGTTGCTTATGTATGTTAATCTCGGTTAGGTGATCAAACTGTTTTATTTTACTGCTTTAGTGTCTGAAAAGCTCCATTTACTTCAAGGAAGATTCTTTCATGGCAAGTTCTAATAGGATTATTTGCTGTTTTTTAGGATAAGGATGCCAAGTTCCGTTTGATTCTAATTGAAAGTAGAATCCACAGGCTGGCTCGCTACTACAAGACCAGGAGAGTGCTTCCACCTAACTGGAAATAGTATGTATCTGGGTCGTGGAGGGGGTAACAGGATAGAAGTAAATAACTGACATGTTTTAATGCTGCATTAACTTTGCAATGCTTATATATTGTGGCAAGTAAAATGCCTAAAACCTACATAGTTATTTTTTTCTTAAATTTGCATTTCATAGTGTTAATATAAAATTAAAACAAATGGGGGCATCTTGTTAAAATTCACGTGTTTTGTGTGTTTCTCACCCTGCTTCAGAGAAGGGACTCTTCCCCTTTACAGACTGTAAACAAAGTCAAACTCGTCTGTTAGCAAAATTTAATGGAAAAAAAAAAAAAAAAATTCTACAATTCCTTTTTAGTTAATAAATGCCGGTAGTCTGAGGTTTAATTGTATTATTTATAAATCTACAGTTTGCATGATTGAAAGGACATTGAACTTATTCAGACTCTGTTCTCCCCATAATGCTTAAATTCTGGTTTGGGATCCAGTCTTTTTTGCTAATTTGAAAGTGTGACTAGTGTATGAAGCATTTTGTCCTACATATGATTTCAAGATGGTATTGTGAATGTGGCATTCTGTATACTGAAATGTTTTTTGTTTTTTCTTTCAGTGAGTCATCCACAGCTTCAGCACTGGTCGCATAAAACATTAAAATTTAAAAAGAATAAAATTTCAATTTAAATAAAGTGTCTTCCTGCAAGTTTTTGATATGACAGATCTCTGTATCAATCTCTATTATCTGTGAGCCCTGTATGCCCTGGCTGAAAAACGTTTTAAAGCAGCCTAATGAATTTCGAGGGAATATGTAGTTTTGTTTTCCAGTCAATGGTCTTACATGTGAGTTTACAGAGGAAGAGGTTCTATTTCAACTGTCAAAAGTAAAGACAAATAAGTCAATGGGACCTGATGGAATACACCCAAAGTTATTAAGAGCTTAGTGGTGTACTAGCAAAACCATTAACAGATTTATTTAACCAATCCTTAACAGGAGTAGTCCCAGAAGATTGGAAGTTAGCGAATGTTGTGCCCATTCAAAAGAAAGGTAGTAGGGAGGAGTCGGGCAACTACAGGCCAGTAAGCCTTACTTCAGTAGTGGGGAAAGTAATGGAAACCATGTTAAAGGATAGGTTTGTTTGTTGAACATCTAAAAACACATGGATTTCAAAATCAGAGACATGGATTTACTTCAGGGAGATCATGCCAACCTAATCCTTTTTTCTTTTTTTTTTTCTTTTTTTTTTTTTGATTGGGTAACTAAAATAATTGATCAGGTTGGTGCAGTAGACATTGCTTATCTAGATTTCAGTAAGGCTTTTGACACTTGCACATAGAAGGCTTATCAATAAACTGCAATATTTAAGTCTGGATTCCAATATTGTTGAATGGGTACGGCAGTGGCTGAGTGACAGGCAACAGAGGGTTGTAGTCAATGGAGTATATTCGAAGCTTGGGCTTGTCACCACTGGGGAACCTCAAGGATCTGTACTTGGACCCATTCTCTTTAATATTTTTATTAGTGATATTGCAGAAGGACTTGACGGAAAGTTATGTGTTTTTGCTCATGATACTAAGATATGTAACGGTTGATGTTCAAGGAGGGAAATGGCAAATGATTTAGGTAAACTAGAAAAATGGTCAGAGTTGTGGCAACTGACATTTTTTTTTTTTAATTTTTTTTTTTTTCATGTGGAAAGGTAACAGATTCATGAAGTTGGCCACAACAGCCTCGACACCACGATTAGAATCAGTACATATTAAATACAAGGCATTGTTGTGTGCTAGTCACACACATTTTATATTTACAATAGGTCACATTGTTATAGTGAGGTTTTAAAATCTAATAACTGTGGGGGTGGAAGACTTCTGTCTGCCTAAGACACCCTAAGGTCTGCGGAGTCGTGGGTGGAGGGGGAAAGGCATTTACAGCTAGGTCCAGTGGCTGTTCCCAATTCCAGGTCGTGCGACTATAGGTTATGGGTGTTGGGTGTGTCTCTTGACCCTTTCGAGTTTGGATAAGGAAGCGGATTGCGGTAGTTACGGGGTCTCTCTATTTGTGCCCTTTCTAGGACTATGTCCGCTCCTCTTCTTTTTTTTTTCTTTTTTTTCCTGGTTGTAGCTATTGGTGGGTACCCATGTGTGTGGTGCTCTAGGTGTCCCAAGGTGTCTTTTTGGCCCTAGTGGTAACTATGAATTCGTGTCTAGGTATATATATAGGTCGCTGTAGTGTGACAGGATCAAGTTGTGCCCTTGGGGCATCAGACCTTGCGGTGAGCTTGATTCCAGTCAGGGTTACTATGTCGCCTGTGATGTCGTTTCCCATTAACCCAAGGGAGGGGGGGGGATTGTTATCGGAGCTGGTGTGCGTGGCTCTGGTGGGCCTTTTTAGCACTGTTATAGCCGTCAGAGTGTGGGAGAACTACATTTAACTTAAATAAACAGATTTATCAACTTAAAATATTTAAACTAGTGAAACTAAGGCCTATGAGGCCGTCGGTGAGGCAGTTCGTTCAGGTTTTGGTTTTCGGGCCTCTGCTTGTTCCAGGGGTTGCGGTTGAATCTGTGCTCGTTGTCCCTGGTCGATGAGCTGTCTGTGTCATTGAGGTCGCTGCGAGGTTCGATATTCCCAATGCGTCATCAGTGCTGGGCCCTCTGCGTGGTCGGTGGCTCTGTAGTGCTTGTCATCTTTAGTGATCCAGAGAGTTCCTGGTGTTGCCCATCTATAGGCTACTCCTGCGGCTTGGAGTTGTTTGGTGATTGGTTGCATACTTTTGCGCCATATCAGTGTGGCCCTGCTCAAGTCCTGAAAGAAGGCAACTGACATTTAATGTGTTTAAGTGCAAGATAATGCATCTTGGATGTAAAAACCCAAGGGCAGGGTACAGAATATTTGATAGTCCTAACATCAACATCTGAGGAAAGAGATTTAGGGGTGATTATTTCTGATGACTTAAAGGTAGGCAGACAATGTAATAGAGCAGCAGGAAATGCAAGCAGAATGCTTGGTTGCATAGGGAGATGTATTAGCAGTAGAAAGAGGGAAGTACTCGTGATATTGTACAGAACACTGGTGAGACCTCACTTGGAGTATTGTACGTAGTGCTGGAGACCATATCTTCAGAAGGATATTGATACTTTTTAGAGAGAGTTCAGAGAAGGGCTACTAAACTGGTTCATGGATTGAAGGATAAAACTTACCAGGAAAGGTTTAAGGATCTTAACATGTATAGCTTGGAGGAAAGATGAGACAGGGGGGATATGATAGAAACATTTAAATAATCGAGCAGGGCCCTCAACCCCCTCTGTTCCTGTACGTCAGTGGTCTGATCTCAATTATGTGTCTGTTAGTCCACCCATTGTACAGCGCTATGGAATTTGTTGGCGCTATATAAATAATAATAATAATAATAAATACATAAAGGGAATCAACACAGTAAAGGAGGAGACCATATTTAAAAGAAGAAAAACTACCACAACAAGAGGACAGTCTTAAATTAGAGGGGCAAACATTTAAAAATATCAGGAAGTATTACTTTACTGAGATGGTAGTGGATGCATGGAATAGCCGTCCAGCTGAAGTGGTAGAGGTTAACACAGTAAAAGAGTTTAAGCATACGTGGGATAGGCATAAGGCTATGCTAGCTATAGGATAAGGTCAGGGACTAATGAAAGTATTTAGAAAATTGGGCAGACTAGATGGCTGGTTCTTATCTGCAGTCACAATCTATGTTTCTATTGCAGGGTATACAATTGTATAGATCCTTATACTTCCAGCTAAAACAAAATTCTGCTTGTGTGAACTGTGCAGTCCATCTAGCTCTGGACAGTACCGTATGCAGCTATGAAAAGTAAACTGTGGCTTGAATATACCGTTCCTGAACACTGTTGGTATAGACACAACCTTTATTGCCTTTTGTTTAAAAAAAATAAAAAAAAAATATATATATATATATATATTTTATATAATATTTCTTGCCTTTATTGCCTAAACGATATGACTTGCATATAGGCCATATACAAAGTTATTTATAAAGCACCAGCATATTCTGCAATGAGTTACAGTGTACTAACAAGTACATTTAACATACAGGAACTGAAGGTAATGAGGGCACTGCTAAATGCTCTTACAAGTGGGTACATTTTACAAGCCAAACTTGTAACATTCTAGTAAAATGGCACACTGATCCCACCCATATGGACAGTCCAAATCCAAAATGCTGAAAAGCGCCCCATGCGCAAGAGATACAGCAATGCAAGACTACTTTTTCTTCCTCCTTTGGGTGTAAGACAGTGAACTGTAGCTGATACCCTTCTAAAAAAAAAAGTAGGCAAATGAAATTACACTAAATGTCATTATTTAATCGGTCTATATATCTGACTCCTTTTGTAATATATTTATAGAAACAACTAGGTTTCTGTTACAGTGCCTCTAAAATAAGTCCCTTTCTTAGCACACCGCCCCTACTGCATACACAAATATGAGAACTAGTGTTAAATGATACAATAGTCCCAATGTGACCTCTTTCCCTACACACTGTTTTTCTGTACATCTCCCAGTCATATCTAGTTTTATGTTAAAGTGGGTTTTTAAAAAAGAAAGAAATTCTATTTTCTTCAATCTTGCAGCACTTTTGCTGGAAGTCTGTCAATTATAGTGAAGGCCTCAACCAGCTTCTGTTTAGACCTGCAAGTGTCAAGCTGATTTTACATGAGCATTATTACGTGCTGCTGTAGGCTGTACATGGAAGTGGATAACTGTTCCCCACTCTCTCTTTCCAGCACCTTAGCTCATACTGCTTTGGGCCATATATGTACAGAGAAACAGTTGCCAGTCCAGAAACATATTACGTGAAAAGAGGTGTGGCAGAAATCTGCAGAACTATTTAAGAGCGTTGAATAGAGAATGAAATTAAGTAGATCTGAGGTCAAATGCGCTGCATAGTTGTGCATATGAGAATGGGTGGGACAAGCCTCAGTGACCGAAGCCTCCCAAAACTTAATGTATAACATGCATAAAGTAGGCACAAGAGAGAACTTTGGTTTGTTCCAACGCATTTGGGTGAAAGATTTTTTTTTTCTTCAGTGAAATTCAGCTATTTTCAGGTTGGGATTTATTTTGACAAATTACAAGTCATGAATAAAAAAATAGAGCGAGACAATTAAACGTGTACTGTAATGGAAAGTGTCAGCAAGCTAGAGCTTGTGCACAATGGTGAAGGCACACTCTGGTAGCATTTGCATTTCGCCTACTTTCTGTTGCTACAGCATATGTGCTAAGTGGGCTTGGCAACTAATTTGGACCAAGTTATTTAAAATGTGCTTGACTTGGCTGGCCACACGGTATGTCAGTCCAGGAAAAAAAAATGTCCATCAGTCCTCCCACACATATGAAGGATTTTTAAGGTGAGATTAAATATTCTCTTCATCTTTAGGAACAGTATAGTAAGATTATGCAGTTGAGCATGAAAAACTGAACGCCAAGAAACAAAAATGCTAAAAGTTTAAAGTGCCTAGTGCTAAACATACCACTGTGTGTGTCTAAAATTACATAAAGTGTATGACCTGTTATAGTACAAAGTACACAATGAATAAAGAAATACACTGATAATGCACACAAAATCAAAATATATCCTGATACAACCCCTAGTAGTAGTTAGTCAAACGTAAACTCTATGGGATAGTAGACCTGGCCATTTATATAGTGCCCACAGATTCTGTAGCGCTTTACAATATTATGAGAGGGGGGAATTAACTATAAATATGACCATTACAAGAAAACTTACAGGAACAATAGGTTGAAAAGGACCCTGCTATAAAGCGCTTACAGTATGGTCATACAGAAAGTTCCTAGCACAATCTGTTGAGTTTATAGTTGAAAATGTTGAGAGAGAAAATATAAATGGAGAGCAAAAATGGGTCGCAAGAGTATTCTGAGAACAGACAGCCGCTAAAATAGCCTGCCCTTCGGTGGGTCCCCGCTCAGAACTCAAGCTGGTTTTAGCTCAATTTGTGCCATTACAGAGAGAACATATCTGAAGCATATCAGACTGGTCCCACCCATACGGGCAGTCCAGATCCGAAATGCCAGCAAGTTCTCTCTGCACGAGAGATACAGCAACCCCAGACGATCGTTTCAGCCTTGTTAGGCATCATCAGTGAGGCATAGCTGGTATCTCTCTAGGCACCGTGAGCAAGGGGTCCACGTCTGGATTACCCTTTAAACTAATGGAGAGCAAAAATGGGTCGCAAGAGTATTCTGAGAACAGACAGCCGCTAAAATAGCCTGCCCTTCGGTGGGTCCCCGCTCAGAACTCAAGCTGGTTTTAGCTCAACTTGTGCCATTACAGAGAGAACA